AGTTGTAGATATTTCTGACTGTACAGTATTTATAGCAGCGAGACGGACTGATGTAAATAATGCTGGAATAATAAAGACGTTCATTCTGCTGGAGCGCAGACCTCTTTAATATCTCATCTACTGAAATATTAAGGTCAAATCTCCAGCACATATTTGAGCTGAAGCGCTGATGAAGAGTGCGAACCGCTGGACAGTGGAAGGCAATGGGGTTCAACGTTCAACATACACTTTCTGTTCCAGTGAAGGAGGAACATCACGCCGGTTGGAGTGAGTGAACTAACCCGTACACTTACCCATAAACTAGAGTTAACTAACCCGTACACTAGAGTGAACTTACCCATAAACTAGAGTTAACTAACCCGTACACTAGAGTGAACTTACCCATAAACTAGAGTTAACTAACCCGTGCACTAGAGTGAACTTACCAGTACACTAGACTAGAGTGAACTTACCCATAAACTAGAGTTAACTAACCCGTACACTAGAGTGAACTTACCCATAAACTAGAGTTAACTAACCCGTACACTAGAGTGAACTTACCCATAAACTAGAGTTAACTAACCCGTACACTAGAGTGAACTTACCCATAAACTAGAGTTAACTAACCCGTACACTAGAGTGAACTTACCAGTACACTAGACTAGAGTTAACTTACCCATAAACTAGAGTTAACTAACCCGTGCACTAGAGTGAACTTACTCATAAACTAGAGTTAACTAACCCGTACACTAGAGTGAACTTACCCATAAATTAGAGTTAACTAACCCGTACACTAGAGTGAACTAACCCGTACACTAGAGTGAACTTACCCATAAACTAGAGTTAATTAACCCGTGCACTAGAGTGAACTTACCCATAAACTAGAGTTAACTAACCCGTACACTAGAGTTAACTAACCCTAGAGTGTGTGTGTGGGTCAATGAACACAGTATGCTGCAGGGGTCGGGAACCTTTTTTGACCAAAGCGACATTTTTCATTTTTGGTTAATGCATTTTTCCAAAAGAGCCAGAGCTATCAACTGATGAGCACAAATCCTCTCTGTCTGCGTGTGTGTGTGTGTGTGTGTGAGTGAGAGAGAGAGAGAGAGAGAGAGAGAGAGAGAGAGAGAGAGAGAGAGAGAGAGAGAGAGAGTACTTAGCCTACATCTACTTACGCGAATACTCGGCTTGGCATTTTGATATATTTCTGTATTTATATGGCGGTTTCGGTGCGCGACTGAAGACGAAGGCTCTTTTCCCGTGTTGCGCTCGGGAGCGCGCACGCACAGCATCCTGCCAGTAATTCCGTTCTCTTTCGCGACTTTTATTTTCAATGTAAAGCACATCCTGCTCTTTTTTCATTCCTTCAATTTTTGTTATAAATAGGCTAACTTTAAACAGAATCGTCAACTGAAATCTGCGTGGATTATCAAAAATGTTACACATTTATCATGTGGATCTCAGCGGCAAAAGTGAAAGTATTGAAGTTTATAGCCTTTTTTTTTACATTTTTGCTGCTTTTCGCCATTATATAGGCCGACCTTAAACAGCTGCAGCTGAACCCCATACAGGAGCTAGGGGTTATCGCAGTTGATTGCTCTGATCAGCAATAATGCTCACTTTTGGAGGTACAACATTAATATAATTATTATCATAAGCTTTTCATTAACTTCTGTAGACTGACTGTAGGGAATTGTAATTGAGCCGATATTTGTTTTCTCGCTCGTAAAGGGTTCCCGACCGCTGTGCTGAACTGATAACAGCCGAGTGCGTGGAAAACTTTCATACTTTGTTTCATCGGTTAATTTAATTAATACCCAGATAATAATTTTTTGGGAAATGTTCCCAAAACATGTATTTGTGGTTTGCTTTCGGTTAGCCATGGAAGACGGCCGGATGAATGCACTTTTAGCCTCGCAAAGTTCAATAGAAGCACTGTCTATAGGTTTAAATAATGTGTGTTTAAGGTCTGCAAGAGATTTCCAGAGAAACTATATTTTACATGTTGTCTGACCTGCAATGAAATGTCATTTCCACGCGTTATTTAAAAATAGAAAAACTTATGACACTCAAGAATTGTCTAAGATCATTTTTGTTATCAGTTTAACAGTTTTTACCAGTTTAGGGCCAATCCTGACCTGTACTTATATTAAGTAAAGGATGATCTCAACCAAATACAGTTTTTTTTTATTATATGAAATTTATTCACAGCTATTTATTACAACGTGATCTATGTTAACAATACATTAATTTCTCACGGGGACGCGCTTGGTCAGTAAACAAAAACTGCTCGGTAACTTCGCGATTTAGACGACTGTCGATTCTCGCTGAAATCACACTGACTTTCGTATTACACGAGAGTAAATATATATAGATAAAGTATAAATTATATGTAATAATTCAATAAAGAAGTCGACAATGTTAGTCAGTCAGAACAAAATAAAAGTGCGCGCTTTCTGTGGAAGATAGTAGGCGCGTGCCCCTATGGGCGCGTGCAGATCGGCGGCGCGCAGTAAATAAAGTATTTATGATCCGTATGCTTTTCATGCTACGCTTAACCTTGGCTCAATTTTAGCTATACATTTGGATTTACCTGAAAAATAATTTATGAAAAATTACATTTCAGCATATGGTTAAACAAATAAAACAGCTTTGACTCATCAGTCATCACACAGTAGTGGTTCAGCACAAGAACAGAGGCTGGATTTGACTGGAATATATTGTAAAAATATCAGCAGGATAGTTTACCGTACACACACATGTTGAGTGTTGAAGCCGTCGGTGTATAATGAAGTGTGTGTGTGGATGGCGTTCGGGCTGGTCCGAGCTTCGTCGCTCTGCTGGAGGAAAACTATATTTTCGTACCCGAGGATGAGGATGATTGAGCACAGGCCTGACGTCACGGGTGTGTGTGTGTGTGTGTGTGTCCTCACCTGATGAATGCTGGAGATGATTACACACACTCATCCTGGAGGAACAATCACTCGTCTGTCTGGAACATTCATGAACGGTTAACACTCGAAACGAGGCGATGCTGAATTATTAAACATGGATCTATAATATATATATATATACACACACACACACGGATCGGATCAGTCGAGTGAACGACTCCATGTTTCGAATCTGAACGAGGATCCGCTGATGTTGCAGAGATTCTGCTTCAAAATAAATACTGTTGTTTTGAACTTTCTATTCATCAAAAAACCTGAAAGATAAACTGCATCAGTTTCCACACACGTGTTTACACTCAGGTCCTGTAGATATCAACATAATCCACTGACGGATGTCATCCGATATAACACACACACATAGACAGCTGGAGTGTATTAGCATGAGTGTATTTACAGTACAGAAGCAGAAAATGACAGCACACGTTAGGGGTCAAATGTCAAGGGTCGTGTCCGTGGTAGAACTTGGAGAGGAAGTCTGTGGGACGCGGCGCGTCGGTCTCGTGGAAGTAGCGCATGATGTGAGTCTTCTGCTTCCACACGTTGATGGTTTCCTCCAGCTCCATCTTGCCCTACACACACACACACACACACACACAGGTCATCACAGACACACACACACACACACACGCAGTGAACAGCAGGCGTGCTCCTCACCTTGATGACCAGCATGTCGATGACCCGAGGGTCCGTCACATGACTGTTCCTGTCGAACATCTCTCGCACCTTATCTCGGCCCTGACGCGCAGTGATGTCCAGCTGGAACGTGTGAACTGACACACACACACACACACACACACACACACACACACACACACACACAGGTTAGCGAGCAAATCCTTCTGACTCAATCGATTCATTTCAGTGACTGACTGAAAGAGGATCCATAAAATTACTAATTTCAAACAACTTTTACTGAAACTCGCTTTTATTTAAGGTGATGATGTTTGTAAGAGCTTATTAATAATTCGCACGAACTTAATAATATTAAGAAAAACTGTAATGGGACAAACACTATTTTTAATTATTTATTAAAATGGGACAACTAACTTATCTTATTAATAATCGACTCGGTTCCGTGACAGAAATGAATCACTGAACGGATGTTTTTGATCAGATTAAAAGCTCTGTCCTGTCAGAAGTATAATAGTGGTGATCAGCTCATTTAAACACGCAGAGGATGAACATCACGGAGAAAGCGAATGTTTAACAGCCGAACCGAGTGTTTCTGCAGATGTTTGCAGTGTACTACAAGCATTATTCCTCTGTATATTCGTGTGTTTGTGACCTTGACGCGAGTCCGCGTGTGTGTCTCGCGGTGTGAGCGCGACCAGTACCTGCGATGGGCACCTCTCGGTACCAGGCCCGGTACAGCTCCCGAACCCTGCGCTTGGCCTCGTCCAGGTCCCGGCTGAAGATCGGCCTGACGACTTTAGCGGCCGCGGAGCCGGTGCGGGTCGCGGTGCTCGCCGCCATCTTGCGCCTTTGTTGCTTTGCTCTGCGCATGCGCCGCAGCCGCCAATCAAATACCCGACGCGCCGCGGTCCTGCGCACACCGCATCTCGAACACACACACACATCTCTAGTCTATGCGCACGTCTGTCTTACTTCTGTCATCATTTTTATAACTTCGCTTTCCTAGTTTCACTTTACCAATTCTTATCATGAATTCGAAATTATGCTTTAAATCGACTTTTTACGTCATAATGTCGACTTTTCTTCTCATAAATATGACCGTCATAATTTAGATTTTGTCATAAGGGCCTCACGATGACTTAAAATGAATTAAAGACACATTTTTAAATAAGCAAAAACCTGCACAGCCTACCTGAGGAACTTTATTTGAAATATATGTATTAGAAACTGAGTAAAAACATTTGATCACTTTTAAAGGAAAACTCATATTAACTGTGCTGATCTAGACTCCCTCACGGTATTATTACTGTATAAACATGCATGAACACACACTCATGTAACACTTGGTTGTGATTTTCACATTATTTCAGCATTGTAAAGGCAATGAATAAACAACAATCATTATAATAAGACTGAAATAACAAGCACTCAGAGTCCAGAAACCAAATAACCCATATTTATTAGCTATAGTTTGATATGTTAACATATGCGTTAAACTCTAAACTTAAATATGACAACAAGAAACACAAACATCTTTAAAAAAAAAACATTGGCTCATTGAAGCAAAGCTCTTTTGTTTTTGTGGCACGAAGACAGTTGAACACTATGGAAGCTTGCGTCCGCCACAGAACAACACTAGCGCATCTCACGTTCGCACTTTCGTCTTGCTAATGCGAGTGTATAAACTACAATCCAAACTGCCAGAGAAAAAGCCAGAGTTTGTGAGATGTAAACTTTAATTTCGGACTTTCTTCTCAGAGTTGCGAGATATTTTTTAATTCTGTGGTGGAAACGAGCTTCCATAGATCACACACGCATGATATTCGATTGGCAAATATGATATGAGTTTGTTGATTGTTCATGTGTGTGTTCAGTTCTTCCACACCAGCGACAGGGAGACGTTCCAGTTTGGTCCCGTAAACACACATGAGAAAGTGCAGAAGCGTTGTTCCAGTGTCCCGCAGCTGATTGGCTGCTGGCCTGAGCGGAGGGTCATGTGACGGCGGTCAGTGCTGCAGGCTGTTGTCGTTCTCGTGCAGAGCGCTCAGCGCCAGTCTCAGGTGTTCTCGGAGAGCCTCGGCCTCTCGCTCGCTGCGGCTCTTCATCACACTCAGCTCCTCACACACCTCCCGGTAGCGCTCGCACACGCTGCTCTTCTCCTGACACACACACACAGAGAGAGAGGACACACGTTAACACACACACTGTGTCACACACACACACACACACAGGCGCAGGAGTGTTACCGTTGTGAGGAAGTGTATCTGGTTGCGGAGGCTGTTGAGCTCTTGGTGTAGATACTGCAGTTCGTTCTCTCGCACCCGCAGCAGCACCTGCGACACACACACACACACACACACACATTAATTATGCAGAGTTTCAAATATCCATAAAAACGACTGATTATTTTGTTTGAATATGAGCGAACGCTCACCTGCATCTCACACCACGACCTCTCGCTGCCATCTGCGTCTGACCCTTGACCTGTGACGAGCGAGCGAACGGCCTTCACTTCCTGTGACAGGCGGGCCTGCAAGTCCTGCACACACACACACACACACACGTCATGTTCTGCACACTGAAACTTAACTGAAGGTTGTGCCAGCGTACGGAGTGTGTGTGTGTGTCACCTGGTTGTCTCTCTTCAGCTGCTCCAACTGTCGGTCTCTCAGACTCATCTGTGTGTGTGTGTGTTCGTGCTGCTGCTGCGCTCGCTTCAGATCCAGACACTTCTGAGAGAACCGCTCCGACAGAGCCTGCAGCTCACGCCGCAGAGACGCCACTTCTGCCCTAAACACACACACACACACACACTCGTTCAGACCAGATAACTGAATGTGTGTGTATCTGTTTCATATGGAAGCACCTTTCTGCTACATAATTGTTACTGTTGAGTGTGTGCGAGTACTCACTGCTGAGTGTGTGCGAGTACTCACTGCTGAGTGTGTGAGTACTCACTGTTGAGTGTGCGAGTACTCACTGTTGAGTGTGTGCGAGTACTCACTGTTGAGTGTGTGCGTGTACTCACTGTTGAGTGTGTGCGAGTACTCACTGTTGAGTGTGCGAGTACTCACTGTTGAGTGTGCGAGTACTCACTGTTGAGTGTGCGAGTACTCACTGTTGAGTGTGTGCGAGTACTCACTGTTGAGTGTGTGCGAGTACTCACTGTTGAGTGTGTGAGTACTCACTGTTGAGTGTGTGCGTGTACTCACTGTTGAGTGTGTGTGAGTACTCACTGCTGAGTGTGTGCGAGTACTCACTGTTGAGTGTGTGTGAGTACTCACTGCTGAGTGTGTGCGAGTACTCACTGTTGAGTGTGTGCGAGTACTCACTGTTGAGTGTGTGCGAGTGTACTCACTGTTGAGTGTGTGCGAGTACTCACTGTTGAGTGTGTGTGAGTACTCACTGCTGAGTGTGTGCGAGTACTCACTGTTGAGTGTGTGCGAGTACTCACTGTTGAGTGTGTGCGAGTGTACTCACTGTTGAGTGTGTGCGAGTACTCACTGTTGAGTGTGTGTGAGTACTCACTGTTGAGTGTGTGCGAGTACTCACTGTTGAGTGTGTGTGAGTACTCACTGCTGAGTGTGTGCGAGTACTCACTGTTGAGTGTGTGCGAGTACTCACTGTTGAGTGTGTGCGAGTGTACTCACTGTTGAGTGTGTGCGAGTACTCACTGTTGAGTGTGTGTGAGTACTCACTGCTGAGTGTGTGCGAGTACTCACTGTTGAGTGTGTGCGAGTACTCACTGTTGAGTGTGTGCGAGTGTACTCACTGTTGAGTGTGTGCGAGTACTCACTGTTGAGTGTGTGTGAGTACTCACTGCTGAGTGTGTGCGAGTACTCACTGTTGAGTGTGTGTGAGTACTCACTGCTGAGTGTGTGCGAGTACTCACTGTTGAGTGTGTGCGAGTACTCACTGTTGAGTGTGTGCGAGTGTACTCACTGTTGAGTGTGTGCGAGTACTCACTGTTGAGTGTGTGTGAGTACTCACTGTTGAGTGTGTGTGAGTACTCACTGCTGAGTGTGTGCGAGTACTCACTGCTGAGTGTGTGCGAGTACTCACTGTTGAGTGTGTGCGAGTACTCACTGTTGAGTGTGTGCGTGTACTCACTGTTGAGTGTGTGCGAGTACTCACTGTTGAGTGTGCGAGTACTCACTGTTGAGTGTGCGAGTACTCACTGTTGAGTGTGCGAGTACTCACTGTTGAGTGTGTGCGAGTACTCACTGTTGAGTGTGTGCGAGTACTCACTGTTGAGTGTGTGCGAGTACTCACTGTTGAGTGTGTGCGTGTACTCACTGTTGAGTGTGTGCGAGTACTCACTGTTGAGTGTGCGAGTACTCACTGTTGAGTGTGCGAGTACTCACTGTTGAGTGTGCGAGTACTCACTGTTGAGTGTGTGCGAGTACTCACTGTTGAGTGTGTGCGAGTACTCACTGTTGAGTGTGTGCGAGTACTCACTGTTGAGTGTGTGCGAGTACTCACTGTTGAGTGTGTGCGTGTACTCACTGTTGAGTGTGTGTGAGTACTCACTGCTGAGTGTGTGCGAGTACTCACTGTTGAGTGTGTGTGAGTACTCACTGCTGAGTGTGTGCGAGTACTCACTGTTGAGTGTGTGTGAGTACTCACTGTTGAGTGTGTGAATACTCACTGTTGAGTGTGTGCGAGTACTCACTGTTGTTCGTTAAGCGTGTAGGTGTGTGTACTCACTGTTGTTGTTTGTTAAGCGTGTGTGTGTCCACCCCACGTGTCTCTGAGAGTTGTGTGGTTTTCTCCATCTCTTCTCTGTGTGCTTTCTGTAACGCCTCCATCACTGTCAACACACACACACACACACGTGTGAACATCCTTCACAGCACTGCCAATGATGTCAAACAGAAAACAATGGAGAAATATAGAACAATTATTCATTTAAAATATGTTATCTATAAAAACAATATAGTTTACGTTTATTGCAAAATATGCATATATTTACAAATATTTAAGCATTTTGGGAGGTAAGGAGACTGAAGTTATTCACAATGCGTCATGGGAGTGGGCGGAGCTTTATAAAAGCTATGTTTGAGTTGCAGAGCCGCGGTTGGTCTCTACAGGCTCACGTTAGTTGGAGTGGCCAGTACCTCTCACAGCGGTTGGTCTCTATACGGTCACATGTTAGTGGGAGTGGCCAGTACCTTTCGCAGTGGCGTCCGTCTCCTCCTTCAGCAGTGAGTCTCTCTCTTTCTCCAGAGCGCTGATCTGCAGTGTGTGCTGTCGCTCCATCTGCTCCAGAGCCTCTCTGTGCACACGCTCCATCTGCTGCAGACTTTCCCCACAGCACGCTGGCCCCACCCGCCCCACCCCAAGCCCCGCCCCCAGCCCCGCCAGCTGCAGCCTCAGAGACGCCACCTGCAGGACAGAGAGAGACACGCGGAGGTAAAGCCTTCAGCAGGGGCGCAGCTGTACTGGACAGGTAACATGTCATGCACACACACACACACACACACACAGAGAGAAGAACAAATGACTGCCAATAAAGCTCCATAAAGTCTTTATGGACCTCTTTTGTTCATTTGATCGCTAAATTAACCCTCATAACGCATAAAAAACCATGCAGATGTTTTACGGGCCAATTTTCTTTGACATTTCGAGTAATACTTGAACTATAGCAAAAACTAAGTAAATAAATAATAATAACAATACATTTCTATTAAATTCATTGTAAGATGAGAATTAACTGAAATTGACTGAAATCAATGGAATTTTAATGTATTGAACATATAAAAATATATCAAAACAACAATAAATGATTTTCCCTAGAATGTTAGTCATAATATTATATATAAATATGGAATATATATAGAAAATTAATATACTTATTATACTTGAATAATTACTAATTTTTATAATGAAAAAGGTGATCAATATCACAAACAATAGGTGTGAATAATAATGGTTTAGTCAATTAAAATTTAGTACCAAAAGTGTGATATATGGGAAAGAAACTGTATTTTTGAGAAAATCTAACTCACTAAAATAAATAAATAAATCACCCAGTATATTGGCGTAATATCATGTGTATATCTGGGTCAAAATTTAATTGAAAATACAAAACCTATTAGATATTTTTTATACAGTTAAATCTCTTAAAAAAACTCCCGATAAATGATGTTCTTTTTTTTTTTTGTTTTTTGTCCCCAATACTAAAAAACAATGTATTTTTGATTTTATTTTCCAGAAATCAAAAGCCGAATGCGTTATAAGGGCTCAGAGTCTCTCTGTGTTCTATTCAGTTCTCATAAAGTCATTCATGAGAGCAGATAGACAGTATCCACGCACTACCTCCCTCTCCAGAGCCTGATTGGCTGACGAGCCCATCGGTGGGAGTGACCTCATCTCCTTGAGTGGCAGCCGCTCAAACTCCGCCCACTTCTTCTCGATCTCCTCCTCTATTCGCCTCTGTTCCGACAGGCCCGCCCCCTTCCTCGACAGCACCGCCTCCCACTGGTTGTGGCTGTCGTCACGCCGACGCTCCTCCTGCCATTGGCTGTGCTCCTTCACCTGCCCCTCCCCAGACTCTCTCTGATTGGCGGAGGCAGGAGTTGGAGGCGTGGCTACAGGTGATAGCTCCACATAGTCAAACTTGCTGTGGGCGGGGTTTGCGGTGGTGGAGGAGGCCTCTGATTGGCTGCGCAGTCGGTGACGGGCGTTCTCTTTATCACTGCTGAGGATCGGCAGCCTGAGGGAGTGTGTGTGAGAGAGAATCAGTGAGTGAGTGTGAGTGAGTGAGTGTGTGTGTGAGTGAGAGAGAGAGTGAGTGAGTGAGTGAGTGAGAGAGTGAGTGAGTGAGTGAGAGTGAGAGAGTGAGTGAGTGAGAGAGTGAGAGAGTGAGTGAGTGAGAGAGTGAGTGTGAGAGAGAGTGAGTGAGAGAGTGAGTGAGAGAGTGAGTGTGAGAGAGTGAGAGAGAATCAGTGAGTGAGTGAGTAAGTGAGTGAGAGTGAGTGAGTGATTGAGTGAGTGAGAGAGTGTGAGTGAGAGAGTGAGTGTGTGTGAGAGAGAATCAGTGAGTGAGTCAGTGAGTGAGTCAGTGAGTGAGTGTGTGAGAGTGATTTTGTGTGTGTGTGAGTGTGTGTGTTTTTATGGCTGATTATGTATGTATGTGTGTGTTTGTGTAGCACTGACTGTGTGTGTGTGTGTGTGTGTGTGTAGCACTAACTGTGTGTGTGTGTGTGTAGCTCTGATTGTGTGAGTGTGTGTGTAGCACTGACTGTGTGTGTGTGTGTGAGTGTGTTTGTGTAGCACTGACTGTGTGTGTGTGTGTGTGTGTGTGTGTCACTGACTGTGTGAGGTCTGGAGAGCTGCTGGGTTGAACGTTCTTCCTCAGAACCTCGATCCAGTTCCTCCGTATCCCAGCAGTCATAGCTGAGAGTGTGAAGGCGGCGTCTCTGGTCTGAGCAACAGCAGAGAGTCACAGATCATGAGGATCAGAGGAACAGGAATGCAGCAGGTCCTGACAGGATCTCACACACACACACACACACACACACAGACCTGGATCTGGAAGCCGTAGTTCTTCTCCACGTCGAACTCCGACACCTTCACGCAGGACTTCAGGTCGATCTCTCCATCCACCTCGTCTCTCTGAGCAGACACCACACATGCGTCAGGAAACCGGCTACACTATCATTACAAATCTGACATTCACTGCGTTACAGCTGAAGATTCGGTTTCAAATCAGTGCTGTTCTCTTTCTGCTCGCCAAAGAATCCTGAAAAATTACATGTATGATAGTTCAAACACGCAAGTGTGTGTCATGTTCATGTGCGTGTCGGGTTCATGCGTGTGTCGTGTTCATGCGTGTTCACGTGTTTTGTGTCCGCCAAGTCGTGTTAATGCGTGTTTGCGTGTGTCGTGTTAATACGTGCTCGCGTTCATATGTGTTGATGTGTGTCGTGTTCATACGTGTTTGCGTTGTGTTGTGTTCATGTTCATTTGTGTGTCATGTTCGTGTTCATACGTGATCGCGTTCATACGTGTTCGTGTGTGTCGTGTTCATTCGTGTGTATCGTGTCCGCATGTGTCATGTTCATATGTGTCTGCGTGTGTCATGTTCACAGTGTCGTGTTCACATGTGTCTGCGTGTGTCATGTTCATACGTGTCCGCGTGTTAATTTCGTTTTCGCGTGTGTCATTTTCACACGTATTTACGTGTCGTGTTCACACGTGTCCGCGTGTGTCGTGTTCGCGTGTGTCGTGTTCATACGTGTCCGCGTTTGTCGTGTTCGCGTGTGTCGTGTTCATACGTGTTCGCATTGTGTTGTGTTCATGTGTGTCATGTTCATTTGTGTGTCGTGTCCACGTGTGTCGTGTTCATACGTGTTTGCGTGTGTCGTGTTTGCGTGTCATGTTCATACGTGTTCGCGTGTCATGTTCATGTGTGTCGTGTTCATACGGGATTGCGTTCACACATATTCGCGTGTCGTGTTCACACGTATCCGCGTGTTAATTTCGTTTTCGCGTGTGTAGTGTTCATAAGTGTTTGCACTTGTCGTGTTCATTTGTGTGTGTTCGCGTGTGTCGTGTTCATGCATGTGTTGTGTTCGCGTGTGTCGTGTTCATACGTGTTCATGCATGTGTTGTGTTCGCGTGTGTCGTGTTCATGCATGTGTTGTGTTCGCGTGTGTCATGTTCATGCATGTATTGAGTTCGCGTGTGTCGTGTTCATGCATGTGTTGTGTTCGCGTGTGTCGTGTTCATGCATGTATTGAGTTCGCGTGTGTCGTGTTCATGCATGTGTTGTGTTCGCATGTGTCGTGTTCATATGTGTTCATGCATGTGTTGTGTTCGCGCGTGTCGTGTTCATGCATGTGTTAAGTTCGCATGTGTCGTGTTCATGCATGTATTGAGTTCGCGTGTGTCGTGTTCATGCATGTGTTGTGTTCGCGTGTGTCATGTTCTTACGTGTTCATGCATGTGTTGAGTTCGCGTGTGTCGTGTTCATGCATGTGTTGTGTTCACGTGTGTCGTGTTCATGCATGTGTTGAGTTCGCGTGTGTCATGTTCATGCATGTGTTGAGTTCGCGTGTGTCGTGTTCATGCATGTGTTGAGTTCGCGTGTGTCATGTTCATACGTGTTCATGCATGTGTTGAGTTCGCATGTGTCGTGTTCATACGTGTTCATGCATGTGTTGAGTTCGCGTGTGTCGTGTTCTTACGTGTTCATGCATGTGTTGAGTTTGCGTGTGTCGTGTTCATACGTGTTCATGCATGTGTTGAGTTCGCATGTGTCGTGGTCACACGTGTTCCCCGTGTGATTCTCACCTCCTCCGCCGCAGAGTCTCTGTAATACTTCAGTCCAGCGTCCGTCAGCACAAACCAGTGTTTCCTCCACTGAACACATACACACGCACAGTCAGTCATGATGAACACACTTCAAACACATCATGATAACAGACAGGCAGACATGTCTTACCTCTCCACTCTCATCCAGTTTAGACATCCATCCCTTCTTAAAGTTCAGCAGGTCAGGCTACAGACAGAGAGGTTTATCAGAAGTGTCAATGCATCATCCTTACCCCACACACACACACACATGCACAAACACACTCACACTCATCTGCATGCAAATGTGTGAGAAACAAACACAACAGCCCAGGAAACAACAGACACTGATGGTGAAACTGATGTTCAAGTATCACTAAATAAAAACGTTTCCAAAGAATTAAATAAAAAAAGCCTAAAGCAACAATCTAAATCAGTCACTTATTTCCACCAAAATATGATTAGGCCAGGCTATATGTCACTAACTCTTATCAGTTATTCTGTAGTTCAGTAATAATGACGAACAAACTTTAATAAACGCTCTTTCACTCAATGAGTGTCTATAATTCAGACAATTAATCAATATCAAGTGATTCATCATGATGATTCAGTAACTTCTAGAACAATTCATGAAAACTCGGAAAGAATCCAGTCATTATGATGGGATTTACTGTGCGACTGAAATATAATACAATTGGAAAGTACACTGTACCTTTCAAAGTAATAATATAATAATAACAAACGTATTAAAACTTAATTGTTATTGTTCTACATTTAGTTATAGTATTTTGTTAGCCAAAACAAAAAGGAATTGTTTGATTTTCATTTGATTACATTTTAAAATGTTTTATTTTACACACAATAAACACAAACACAAAATGAACATTAGAAACACTAATCTGATCAAATATTCTAGAGGTTACACAATGATCACATGCCTTATAAAGCACACACACACTGGTGATGGTGACAGCTGAACTTAACTCTGATCAGGATTATCAAAGCACTTATAATATCAAATTCGTGTTTATTTACATGAACTAGAAACCAGCAGGAACCAGCTTCAGTAATGCGCATGCGCTGTGTGCGCGGGTGTGTCGCGCGCGCACAAACACACGCATATATTTAAAAAAGCAAGTTGTGTTTACTCACGAACCGTGCAAACAAACCACACACTGCACGCCAACACACACTAACTGGAGTTTGGATGGACTTGTACGACACAGAATTAAACTTCCGTCGTGTTTACACTGAGAGCGACGGATATTAAAGTGAATTAAAGTGAAACTCACCGTCATGATGTTCAAATCCAGCCGCAGCACAAACACAAACACAGATTAAACACGCCGCATCTGAGAAGCTTTCCCGCTGTCAAGTTTTACTAAAGCTGAAGATGATCATGTTTAAAAATACTTTCACTGATTTAATCGATAGATCGCAGCGTAAGTTTGACGGAACTCGCGCTGCTGTCGGTGTTGCCGGGGCGGATCCCGATTACAGTTCAGCGGAAGCGAGCGGCCAATCAGAACCTCCCAGCGAAGTACAACATCCAATCAGAACCGACCGGCGCAAGTGAGTGGCCAATCAGAACCGCCCAGCGCATTACAACAACCAATCAGCAGCGCGCAAACAATACTCTCACAGTAAACCTGCTATGATGGTTTAACACATTATGGGGAAAACTCAACAATATAGCCTACACTCCAACATAACTAAAAATATACATAAAATTAAAAAAAAATACGACAAATAAGCAAAAACAAAAAAAGATCACATAAATATTAAAGCGAAGTACATCCAAAAATGACTCACTAATCTCTTACTCGCCCTCACGTTGTTCCTAACCCGCATGTCACACAGTAGATGTTGATTTAATCAGTTCTGTTCAAAGATGCAATGAAAGTGAATGGTGACTGAGAGACTGTCATTCAGCCTAACATCTCCTTATGTGTTCCAGAGAAGAAGTAACGGGTTTGGAACAACAATGGTGAGTAAATGCTGACAGGATTTTTATTTCTGTGTGAATGCTCCCTGTTGTTATTAGTGTAGTGTGGTGGTAGCGAGTGACGTGCCTGTTGTTGCATTGGTTCTTCATCAGTCTGATCCACGCTGCAGGAGAAATACACTGAGGGTCTGTGTGCTTTCTGCAGAAGAAACACACACTGGTGTAAGCATTGAAGGACCACAAGTGTTTCTACAGAGATGTGACGGTACCTGCTTCTGTCCGGATGATCTGGACGGCTGCTCCTCGACCGGACTGCTCGCTCTCTGTCAAACACACACACACATAATACATGAGACACATGGGTTCATGATCATGGACCTGGGCGGACAAGTGTGCAAACAGTGTATGTTTGGTTTTTAATGTGTCTTTCAGGATAAGATAGTCATGCTGGCTGGGTTTAACCATTGGAAAGTACAAGGGTGAGTGGTGTGTGGTTTTTCCATACACTGCAGACAGTGTATGATGACATAATGATGACATTTACAATAACTATAATGATAACTATGACAATAACTGCAATGAGAACAAAAATACTAACTATAACAATAACAATAATGATAACAATATCTATGACAGTAATTATAATCAAAACCATTACAATAATAAAGCGATTCCAATGAAATTGTTGTAGTTGTGGTTTAGAGTTCACTGTTTTCGTAAAGATAACAATTATTAAAACTTTATTATAGTTATTATGATAGTTATCATCCATGGTGTGAATGGGGATAATTAGTAGTATTGAGCTGTGTGTGTGTAAGAGGGTGTGTTTCACCTGTGTGTGCAGGGAACTGGAGGAGTGAGCCCTTGATAGTGTACCACTGTCTCTTTCATCCTCTAGCTCGTCCCAATCCCAGTGAGGAGATTTGCTCTGAGAGTGACTGGAAAACACACAAACACAGATTCAAATTATTTTTAAATTATTTATTTTTAATTTATTAAATATTAATTATATACTGTATATATAATATTAATTCAAAATATTAGTTCAAGTAAATATAAAGTATACTGTATATACTTTATATTTACTTGAATTAATATTTTAATAAATTATTTAATTTATTAAATATTAATGATTTATATACTGTCTATATATATACATACATACTTTATATTTATGTGAATTAATATTTTAATAAATTATAAATAAATCATTTAAAAATAAAAAAGGCCATATATAAACAATATGTATTGTGAGAAGCGCTATACAAATAAATTTGAATTGAAATGAATTGAATATATATATATATATATATATACATCAGCTTTATATCTGCGATTTGATAACATCCCTGAAGCTCTCACTGCTGCGTTATGAATTACTTGCAGTTTAATCCTGAATTTCTGATAACATTTCTAAACACGCCCTGGCTTTGCTACTCTTTTTTTACATTGTGTTACTTTGAGAAGAACATTTTCTGTGCACCTGGCCGGTTTGTAGCGGGAAAGTTCTCGTTTCTGACGGCTCTCGACCCCCCCCAGCTGGCTCGGACCCTCCCTCTGGAAGACCGTTTTGACCGTGGGAATGTCAGCCATCATGGTATATTCTTCCCGGTTGAGACCCGATGACCCGGCGGATAGATGGCTTGACTCCGAGTCCATGGAGCTCTGGGAAGAGGTGTGTGTTTGGACCGGAGGGGAGGGGCTTCTGTGCCGGCTCGGCGCTCGTCGGTTGTTAGGCGTGGAGCTTTGCACCTCTTGGCTTTTCCTCATGCTGCTCTTCCTGCTTGTTTCTTGTGATTGTTCCCAGGCGACCGGGACAGATTTTGGAAAGGAGCTGATATGTTTCCTCTCAGTGCTGTGTCGTGATGGGGAGGAGTTACGCGAGACTGATTGGCTGTTGAGGGAGTGGGTGGAGCCTCTCCAGCGGCCTGATGAAGGGGTTGAATCATGCAGTGATTGGTTACTTGAGGAGTTTCTTACATGAGATGTGGAGCCAGTTCTGTCACTCACAGTGTTCCTGAGAGGGATGTGGTCTGCGATGTCACGCCTCAGTGTAGATATCGCTGACTTACGGGGAAGAGATTGGCTAGGGGTGTCATTGGCCCGCCTTAAGGGGGAGGGACTGCGGCTCTTGGGGACACGGTTTGATGAGGACTGGCTCGTTTCAGACTTACGAAGTGGTGATGAGCCAAGGTTTACGTGTGGACCTCTACTTGGGGAAGAGTGTCGGCTGTCTCGATCTTGTTTCTTCATTGTGGTTTGTCTTTGCGTTTCATAACTTTTCCTGGATGGGGAGGGGCTGTTTCTGTCATGACTCCGCCCATTAGACACAGATCTTCTGTCTGATTGGCTGGGCGTTCCGTAGCCATTCCTGACCGGAGACGCACTGCGTCGACCCTCTCGAATCTGACTTGATGTGCCATTTGTCTCCGGCCTCCCCGTCGGGGACTGGCTTCTTGAATCATAGCGGCCCTTTGAGGAAGGGGAGGAACTCTGTCTGTCATGACCACGCTCGTATGAGGTGTTTTTCGTCTCAGTTTTCTTAAGAGCAGGACCTTCATAACTCCGTCTGGAGGGGGACTGGCTTCTTGAATCATATCGACCTATTGAGATAGAGGAACTCTGTCTGTCATGACCACGCTCGTACAAAGGGCTTTTCGTTTCAGTTTTCTTGACAGCAGGACTTTCATAACTCCGTCTGGAGGGGGACTGGCTTCTTGAATCATAGCGGCCAACTGAGGGGGAGGAACTCTGTCTGTCATGACCACGTTCATATGTAAGGCTTTTTGTCTCAGTTTTCCTAAGAGCAGGACCTTCATAACTCCGTCTGGAAGGGGACTGGCTTCTTGAATCAAATCGGTTCACTGAGGGGGAGGAACTCTGTCTGTCATGACCACGTTCATATGTAAGGCTTTTTGTCTCAGTTTTCCTAAGAGCAGGACCTTCATAACTCCGTCTGGAAGGGGACTGGCTTCTTGAATCAAATCGGTTCACTGAGGGGGAGGAACTCTGTCTGTCATGACCACGTTCATATGTAGGGCTTTTTGTTTCAGTTTTCCTAAGAGCAGGACCTTCATAACTCCGTCTGGAAGGGGACAAGCTTCCAAGGTTTTCTCTAGACCCAACGTAGGAGCTGTTGGTATTGGGTTTCTGTAAAGAGCCTTTGAGATCCACATAAGACTTACTGACAGTACTGACAGTGCCTACGGTGCTCGCAAATGATCGGAGGTTTTTCTGCGCACCTCCAGAATAACTATTCCGTGCCGGACTGACCGTTGCCCGATTTTGTCCGAGTGAAATACCGCAAGGCCGAAAGCCGACCGTGTTGAGAGAGGAGCTGGACTCGGCCCGTCTGAATGGGGAGGTACTACGGGAGGGAGAGGAGGAACGTGAGAGGCCGGAACCTCCATGGGAAGAGTTGAGCGTTCCCGGCTGCCGCAAGGGAGAGGTGTGGGGATTTCGTCCACCTCTTCGGCCGGAGGAACCGATCGATTCAGCCTGTTTGAACGGGGTGGGACTCAGCGCTCGGGGACCGGCGAGGGCCTCGACCTCCACGCTGAGATCCAGCGGGTCTGGAGGATACTGCACAGGATAGTCTTCTGCGAGCTGCTCGGGATTCTGAAACTCTGAGGTTCTCCTTTCGGAGGGGACGCCTAGATCCGGGTTACGAAAAGGAATGGCAGCTTTGGGTTCTGGACTTTTGTTGCTAGGCAAGGGATGCCCTCTCTCAGAATGCCGATAAGGAGCAGGGGGAGTCTGATCACGGAGAGCTCTGCTCCCCGCAGCCCTTCCCAGAGAGAAATATCCACTCTCCCGATCCCTTCCTTCCTTCACGCTGCCTGCAGACAGAGAGACAAGATCGTGACCTGTGTAAATATGTGAACTGATACCCTGCAATCATCCCCCATGACGCAGCACTCAGGAAAAGCCTGTGTAACCTGAGTCCATCTGACACCTCAAACTGCCACTCTGACTATCCTAACAACACCACAAGCTGCTCGGATGGTAACTGGATATTGGTGTTTTCCTCACCGTGAGAAAAACCGATTTGGCCAAAGCCATCCCGGCGACTCGGAGAAACCTCTGTCCAGGAACGGGGGCTCGTCCGGTGCGGCGGATCCAAGCGGGTCATTCTACGGTAGGATGAAGGATGATGAAGGAGGCTGGAGTATTCCTCTGGACCGGCAGAGAGGCTGTACACGGAATCGTCACCCTGACTGGGATTAAAGTTGCATACGGAAAGAATGATGCCAGAACTCAACACACCCCAAAACACACTCTTGGAGCAAAGTATACAATTCAAAGTTTTAAAAAACGTCTTATATTACAAGATAAATATAATAACAACAGCATAGACTCAATTTCCTGACGGAGTAAGGCTCTTTAGCAGGCTTACCTGTCCGAGCTTTGGTCGTCGTCTCCGTCACACAGATACAGGTCACAGTCGGGACTCAAGATGCAGAGGGAGCTCTCCTCAAAGCCCCGCCCCCCTCTGCTGACATCACAGTAGCTGCTGACCACTGACAGCACATCTGAGTCCTCCTGATTGGTGGATGTAACACACACAACCAATCAGAGAGCATTACGGATTAAACCATCTGTGCAACCCATGACGATCTGAAGGAACTTTAAGGCATCAGAAGAGATGCTGTGAATCCAGCTCATTCTAAACCAAGGTTTCAGCATTAGGAAATGTTAGCAGTAATAAACATGTTTTGCTTCAAATAAAATAAGACTAGATCTAGGTCTTGTTAAATGGAGATTTCTGAGGAAATTAAGCAACTAAAATAGCCCTTCACATGCAGTATCACGCAAGCACACACACACACTGTACGGGTTTAGGGTTTCACAGCTGTAACTCTGTCTGGTTTGTGGCTTTTCTTCTCATCATTATTTCAGATGAGTGAATAATCAGCAGCGGAAATATCAGTATTCGTGTAATACGGATGAACACTTCTGAGATGATAAACATGATTACAGCTCTTTTCTGTCAGGTACTATAACAGCCCTAGTGGAACTCTTGAAGAACTCCGGACATGGATGGTTCCTCAGATCAGGTGTGTTGTTGAGGACAGTGATGTTACTGAGGGATCATCAGACAGACCATTTTACCTGCTGGACGGCAAAACAGGTGAAAATATTGAAGTCGCACATTGAAGGAAGAAGACAAATCTACAGACCAGAAGAGGACATTCTCATGCCATGCAGGAAGAAAACACCTATAACCACACTGGTAAAAAATTGTGTGTTGGATTTACTATACTAAATATATATGCACCATTTTTGCAACACACTTTTTAAGTAAACCCAAATTCGAATAATTTTACTTAAAATTAACAAGAAAACCTATGTGTACCTAAATATTTGAGTTTGTTTAACATTCTTTACTTAAAAATACATGTAACGCGATAGAACCTACTACGTAATTGCAATTTGTGTTACCTTAACATTTCTTAGTCGATTATGTTGCATTACATATATTTAAAGTAATTCACATATTTAAGTACACATAAAGTGAATCCCTCTCAGTTTAAAGTGCAATTATTCCAATTTTAATTACTTTAATGTTGTGGGTCAATTTGACCCGTTGTTGGAAATACTGGTTAACATTCGTTTTTTTTCTTGATATTTTGTGACTTTTTCTCATTTATCATGATGAACATGCACTCTAAACAATGCTGTGTAGTTTGAACCCAAATTTGGGTAAAATATGGACAAACACAAATGTTGGGTTAAAAATGCAATAATTGCAAAATTAAAAAATGCAAAAAATTACAGTTGAAAGCGACAGTTGAAGTTGGGTTAAAATTTTAAATTACATTTTTAACCCAACATTTGGGTTTGTCCTTATTTTACCCAAATTTGACTTCAAACAACCCAGCATTGTTTAGAGTGTGCATGCAAAGTTTCAATATGCTGATGTGTATTGACATATACAAACAAAATTACTGTTACGTTCGTGAAGTTCTTAGGTCAATTTGACCCACATATTTTAAAGCTCTGAAGAAACTGTACCGACCCAAAATAATAACATTTCTTGGTTATATTTTGTTTGGTTTTTTTACAACCTTATGAAGCTAAAAAATGGCTTTTCCACACTTATTTCAATACAGAAAAATATTTTGTCAGCTACAGATGGTAAAAATGATAAAACCTTATTTTCCAATACCTAAAATAAAATTAAACCTTTGTTTTTTTTCTTTTTCTTGATGTTTTGTGACTTTTTTCATCTATGACCATGAAGATGCATGCAAAGTTTGAACATGTTGCTGTGTTTTGACATTTACAAACAAAATTAATATTACGTTCATGGTGTTCGCTGGTCAATTTGACCCTCATAGGAATTCAAAAGCAACCGTACAGACACAAAATAAAAACATTTATTTTATGTATGTCAGGGCACTTCAACTCCAGTTCCCACGTGCAAGTGTAATCTAAAAGTGCTCAAACCAAACACACTTGAAAAAGCTAAAATCACAGTGTTTAATTATTTATCAAATTATTTGCAAATTACAGATGAAAATCTTTGTCAAGCACAGAGTAAAGGGTAAATATATCTGAAATACCTAGCTTTTAACCAAAACCTTTATGTAGGATTCTCAAATGCAGAATTACAGAGCCAAACAATTAATAAAAAAACATTTATTATTTTTCTCAATCCCCTGTGAGTGAATAATGAGCTTTCCCACAATTTTGCTCAGTGTGGCACGAGACTTCAACATAGAAAGCAGAAAAAATAGCTCCCAAAGTTTGACAGTAAAATAAGTAATTTCACAGGTTTGTGACTGCGATACTGACACAGATGAAGATGTTTCAGAGTTAGAGGATGATTCAGAGATTGAGGAAAATGTTGAAGATACAGAAATGAACTATTAGGGAAACTATAGGGAAATGTCTTAGGAAACTAGGGATAGTCAACTTAGGAAAATTAAACATTTTCATTATACATCTAAATGTAATTGCTCAGTTGTGATTTTCAAAGCATAAAGATTGGTTTGTAATGTTTGACAAATGTTGATATTAAAAGTTTACGGGGTTAAAAGTGTGATGCTAAAATGGTGCATAACCAGCCAGTAATGTATTTCTGTGTGTGTTGCGCAGTGTTCAGCTGTCGAAGTCTCTCTCTGTGTGTGTGTGTGTGTGTGTGTATTGTGTTACTCTGATGTCGCGAAAGCGATCCGCCTTCATTCATTATTAATGAGGATGTGCGCGCGCACGTCATCCACTCTCCTGTATTACTTTACACACTGAATCTGGCATTATTATACAATCCGAAACACACACTGCAGAGTTACGCTTTTGTGCAGTAAACTTATTACAAATTCGCTACTGCAACTTACTGATGCAGTCTCTGTGTATGTGTGTGTGTCGCTATCAGTGAGTGTGTGTCGCTATCTGCGCGTCTCACCTTGGCGCTGGTGTCTTTCTCGTCAGAAGCGCGTGGCCCGGGCGCGTGCTCGCCGCCGCTGGTGTTGTGTAGGTGCTCCTGTCGGAGACATTCGTGGCAGCGGGTGGAGTCGAAGATGTTGGGCTGGAACTTCGGGCACACGGGCTCATCAGCGGCAGCCAGGGGCATCATGGGTAATCTTCAATCGCCTTCACACACATGCAGGTTCAAACCACAAGCGCACGAAGAGACAGTGTGTGAGAGGGAACGTGTGTTACCTGAGCAGCAGATGAGGGTCGATTGAGTTTGAGATGAACACTTAAGTCACTCACACACACACACACACACACTCGTCCCATTGGCTCGCTCAACAATAGCAGACAGTGATGCTGCACGTGTGTGTCCATCTGTTGTGTGTATTAAATATCAGAGACGTGCAGCACCTGCTGCTCAACATCACAGACACACACACAACCCTACCCCTAAACTTTTTTTATTATTACTGTGAACTTAATTAATGTGTGAAGAGACCAACTAATACCAACGCTATTATTCTCAATAAAACATCTAAACCTCTGTTAACTCTCGACTGACAGAACGGTCCGAGGAGAACCCTGACAGAGAGAGGGATCAGACACAGATCACACTTCTCGGACATTTCTGTCTGTCCGTCTTTCTTTAAACATCATCAGCTCCTCCTGTGGTTATCAACTTCCTCTCATCTGATAACTGAGTGTTGAAATTCTGCTATATAGAGACACTATACCACAGTGAAGTGTTGCTTTACATGCGTATTTTGAACCACACTGGCTCAACACACATCTTTCGCCTCCCTGAGCTTCTGGACCACTTTACTAAAACAGTTGAATGAGTCGTTTTCGACCAACCATCTACCTTTCTTACACAGAACAAACTCCTGGTTCCTGAAGCGTCACTAAACTGAGACTGGCAACAGCAGCTTCCAAATCCTCAGTTCTCATAGTGTTATCCCTCTCCCGCTCTCAACGTTTTCCACACAGACAGTCCTATTAAAATTATAAAATCTAATTAAAAAAACTTGTTTGTTGATTAGCCAGAGATGCCACCAAAGAATAATTGTCTGCACATCGTCCAGCATTACTGAATCTTTGACAGTTTTCTTCAAAATCCTTATTAGATTTGTATTTTGTTTAATTCTTGTGTTATTATGTTTATCCAGATTTGTTAGCTGTTATTTATAATCACCATTAATTTACTTCATAATTATCTGTCATCATCAGAAACATGGTTTCTCCATCACTGTTCTCATCTAGATACTGGAGTGCCTCAGGGCTCAGTGCTGGGACCGCTTCTCTTCTCCATCTACATGTCATCACTAGTGTCTGTCATTCAGAAACATGGTCTTTAGCTATAGAGACGCACGTCACTCCTCTCCTCATGAACTTGCACTGGTTTCACAGTGCTGCACACACACATATTTCATCAACACTTGAGCCTTTAATACTCACACTTACTCTTCTATATTACCATACATTACGAGCTCATGAAGGGGAACATCTCAGGAAAGGAGACATATTAAACACAACTGCAGAGGTTTATTAAGAATATTAGTAGCAATCATTCAACATGAAAAACAGATGAGGAATCAATAATACAATAATCCTCAGATCATCTCCATCACACAGAACAGAGAGACGATTATACAAGCCATGTTTCCATCCACTTGTCAATCGAATTATCTGAAATTCGGTTAAAAAACTCATGCGGATAAAGCTGGTGAAAGTGTGTTTCCATCCAACGGCTTTAAAGCGAATAAAAACCTGTACGTAATGACGTCACATGCTGTTTTGCGATCAAATTGGTATATCGAATTGATTTGAGACATTTTAAGGTGTTTCCATTTATTTTCGCACTGAATTGAACAACATTCAAGCAAACTTTTTTTCATATAAATCAACCAAATAAATAAATAAATCAATAATTTGACACAAAATATTGACTTAAAAACGAGTTTATTGATTTAAAAACGAGTATTGCTTCTGCTAAAGAAAATAGTCTGTTCCGTCTCTGAACTGCGTCCATGGCAACGGTGTGTTATACTAGAAGCGCCGCAGTCTGTTAACTAGAAATAACAAACCACATACATTACAATTCAACCAAACCACGTAAAAACAAGCAAAACTAACCTAAGAAAACAGCGACGCTATAAACATTGCTATGATGATGCCCGTTTATGCCCGACGACAGCGGAGGTGACTGTGGTTTGGGAACGACAGCGCTCCATCAGTTCTGGGAGATCGTGGTTCACGGAAACCCTTTGGTTGAAGCATCTTTTTGCTTTGTCCACTTACATCTGTCTTTGTTGACATCCGCCATGTGTGCGCAAACAGACTGGCCGAAAATGAACTCGTCTTCTGGCGTGTTGCAACCATAAAAGGGCATAAAACTTAATCGCAATTCATTATTTATTCGGCAAATAACGTTTCCATCAGCTTTTACCGCATTAGCCGTATATCGATCAAGAGAAAATCCGATGAGACCGAACGTATTTCATTTGAGTCGATTTTCATGAAATTTCATCGAATTTTACTGTTTCCATAAGGCATTTTTCATTCGATATCACTTAATTCGGACAAAAACGTGTCGATGGAAACATGGCTACTGTCTGAGTCTGTCCATTACTGTATTTAATATTATATTTACAGCAGTTTACAGATGAAGCTCAAGAACATGACTGTAGGCAAATATCCATAGAAATGAAAATAAATCCTAATAAAAGTATTATTGAGATAAAAAAGTGTTTGCTATTGTAAATATTGCTGCAGATTGTGAACTCATCAGTGTTTTACTGTAATATTGTGGGCATCTCTATTTCCTCCGGGGGCTTCGAGTCCTTCCTCCCTGCAAAATAAAAGCATTGCCTGACCTCTGGTGTGTGTTTATCATGATTGCAGATGTTCAGATCAGACGAGTGTGAATCTTCAGAGTGTGTGCGGCTCAAACTCACCAGCTCTTCTTGCACAGATGATCTGAAGAAGAATCACAGTAGGAGCAGCAAACACTGCCATCTCAACAATACTCACAATCACTGCAGGAAACATGAGAGGAAGAAGAAGAGAAACTGGACATGACTGAAGTCAAGGGTCTTCATCTATCAACAGTTATTGATGAAGCATTTACAGACGGACTGATAGTGTAATGTTAGAAAGCTGTCCGTCTAAATCAACGTGTCGTACCTCTGTATAATAATCCAGCACTCACACCGACGACAGTTTCTGATGCCGGATCAACTGTGGAGATCACGTGTGGTCCTGTAGAATGTGCCAATGGTCCTGTAGAATATGACGGTCATATTTAGATGAGTGAACACTGAAGATAACTCCAGCATTACGCACTGAAAAGCACTGATGTGAGAAAGACAGTGATGATGTACCTTTAGAAACGTGTGTGTTTATAGTTGAGGGATCCTGAGAGTGTGTGATGTGGACTGGATTCACTGCTGTCGTTGAATCAGCTTGAGCTGTGAAGATCAATGTTAGTTCAGATGATTCATACTGTACAATATGAGCATCATATTTTAACTGTGATCATCACATTACATAAAGAGTGAACAGTTGGACTGTGACTTCACTGCAGTTCATTAGTTTGAAGCAACGCTTTGAGTTCCTCTTCTGTGAGAGTCAAAGAAGCTTTTGTTCCCTCAGTTTGTTCTGGTTCAGTGATACTGATAGACCTCAGTGTTCCTGACATCATGAGGCTCTTCTAACACTGTTTCCTCACCTGAATACTTGACAGTGTATCTGACTGACGTCTGGACTTGATTTCTCTGAGTAAGCTGACATCTCCACTCTCTGTTGTCATCTTCATCCAGGAGTGTTGTAGTCAGAGTGATGATACAGCGATGTGGAGATGATGATGATGATGATGATATCTGATATCTGGAGTCTGTCTTCAGATCAACACCAGCCTGATTCACCCACAACAGCTCAACTCCCCCAGAATGAACCCGATCATCACAGGAGTATCCAGTATATAAATACAACTGACAGGAGAGAGTCACAGAGCGGCCTGGACTGATCTCAGTCTGTGAGGATGATGATGATGAAGATGATGATGATGATGAAGATGATGATGATGATGATGATGATGATGAAGACACTGAAACTGAACACAAGACACAAATCACAGACTCTTCAATCATCATCTGAGTTTAAAGGGAGAATCTGCTCTTTTTATATTGAACACATAATCATAAACTCACCATGAAGAACATTCAGAAAAACATAAGCATCAGTTCCTTGTGGTACTCCGTTCACATATTGTCTGCATCTGTATAATCCATAATCATCTTCAGTGACGTTCTTGATGTTCAGAGAGCAGTCAGACTCCAGACTCAGTCTCTCATGTCTCTCTGTGTCTTTATTCTTTATTCCTCCAGTAATCAGTTCAACCCATGAATGTCCGAAGCTGTTAGAGTGGGTCCATGATGTTGATTTGCAGTCAGAAAGATCTTTATTACAGGACAGAGAGACATCTACACCAGAACTGATGAACACATGATCCTCTCCACTGGTTCCTGAAACACAGTATATCTCAGTGATCATGATGATATAAACAGAAGTATTAAATGATGATTGTAAGTGGCCACTGGAGGCCGCTAGAGGTAGTATATTCTTAGTGAGGTAATTCATGTGACTGGGTTGGAGGCTGTGCAGGGTACTCTCGTGGGTGCACGGTAATGAAGCAGTGGATTAAACGATTACTTTATCAGCGTTGCTGTATACTTCTGGGCTCAAACAGTAAGTAGAACAGGTGAGGATATTCACAGTACACAGTACTCTCTCTTCAGTTCACAATAGGGAGACAGTGAGTCATAAGGTTACTTTACCAGTGGTGCTGTATGCTTCTGGGCTCAAACAGCAAGTAGAACAGGTGTGGATCTTCACAGTACAAAGTACTCTCTCCTCAGTTCACAGTAGGGCGACAGTGGGTTAAACGATTACTTTATCAGCGTTGCTGTATACTTCTGGGCTCAAACAGTAAGTAGAACAGGTGAGGATAGTCACAGTACACAGTACTCTCTCTTCAGTTCACAATAGGGGGACAGTGAGTCATAAAGTTACTTTACCAGTGGTGCTGTATGCTTCTGGGCTCAAACAGCAAGTAGAACAGGTGTGGAT